CATATGAAAAAAGATATCCAATTTCCACAGTTTAAACTATTTCTTTGGTATTCAGTAACGATTTCTATTAATTAACTAGTCTGGACACCGAATCTACAAGGTTTGTTCTCGTGATGTTTACATTTGTTATTAGAGGCGGTTTTTTCGGTTACGCATATATTAGACAGAAAGCCATACTCTGTTCGCGCAGTTTCTGATTATTTTATTTTTTATTTTATTTTTATTTATTGTCATATATAAATTTTCTTTCAATACTAAATCAATATGACCTGTTAGATTCTCCCATATTCAATATCCTACTGTCATCACCTTAACCCTGGTAAATGTCGCTTCCAGGTTCTATGACTTGCCAAAAGACAACTGGTGTTTTGGTTGTTACTGTTTTGAATTCATCGTCGTCAAACTCTTAAACTGGTTTCCAACCACACCTGACAACCAAAGCTGTCCTTCTATTTAACGTATTGCTAGGGGACAAGTGATGGATTAATACCTTTTTTCCAAGGGTATTTGCGCCCACGTGAATGTAAAAAAAAAAAAAAACTCGGCAGGAATTCGAATTCGGCTGTCCGACTTCTTATTCCCAAACTCTATCCCCTCTACACCACACACAAGTGTATCTCTTTTAAGGTAACACGTTTATATTATATCCAGCACGTGCGGATGCACACATATATATATGTGCTAGGTTTGTAACGGTGAGAAATAGTTTTTTTTTTATAAATGATATTAATGTTTTAATAAAATATAATTGACGAAAATGAACTCGATAACGAAAGAAAAATCTCCACAAATCAAGCAAACAAAAAATGTAATAAAAATAGGCATAGGTAGCTTCGTATTCACAATTTTTTTTCTTTTGAAAATACCGTTTAAATAAAGTATATATAATCGTAACGTTTTCGTTGTAAACCATAAGAGTACGAAACTAAATCTCTTGTATATAAAATTACCGTTCATTCACCCCCCCCCCTCGGATTTTCTCATTTAATATCGCCAAAACTGATACTGCCAGTAAACCGCCTGCATAAGGATAGTAAATGAATTCAGTAAATATGCAATAACAGAACGAGGTTTAACACAAGCATTTAACTCCTCACCGGACTTCAGTTCGAAACAGTTTGAATTAGAAGTTCTAACTAGATTCATTAGTGGCGGTCACAATCTTAACATAAGATATACAGATGACAGTGCTGATAGCAAACACAGAATGGAAACTATAAGAATTCGTATATAGTGTATTGAAGGAAATCAAGAAGAAAGCACTAAAGATCGATTACAAGAAGCTAGAATGTATGGTTGTTCGCAAAAGGAACAGCCCTACATACAAATTGGAGATAAAAATTATCAAATAAACTAAAACTTTTTAAATATCTTTGAAACAGAGGACGGAAAGCGCGACAATAAAATCCGAAGACGCATTATCATAGCAAAAGGTGCCTTCCCAAATCTAAACAAAGTATTAAGAAACAAGAAAATTTCTTAATAAAATCGTACTGAACTATTATGTACTATTATCAGCCCCCTTATATTACAGTGAAAGATAGATAAGACTTGAAGCAACACAAATTTGGTTCTACAGAAGGATGCTGAGAACACAATGAATCGAATATGTGATCAACGACGAAGTTTTAGAGAAAATGGGCTGTTGTTTTCACCTTTTATTCTTATTTTTACGACGTTTCGGCCGTTGTCCACTCCGGCCTTTTTCAGGGGGTTGATCCAGTGGACAAAAGCGTTGGTTGCATCGAGTGACTTGACCCAAAGAGTTTTGAGTTCAATACCTGGCTACTACAGTTGTGAACACAGCTTGGAGAATTGGGTTACTAAAGGGAAATAACTGAAACTGAAATATCCGGAAGAGGCATGGCTCATGGAACTAGAATCTATCGTGGTGGACGAAATAATGTTTGAAATTTCAATCAACTGAAGAAGACCAGAGCGTACAAAGACCGAAACGTCGCGAATATGACAATAAAGATGAGGACAACAATCCGAACAATGTAAATAATTACAAGACCTCACCTCAGAAATAGACTGATATTAAAATGGAAACGGACAGTTACACTTACCATCAGGCAAATATTCTGAATATTTCTAGGTCACATAATGAATAAAAAGTGGCTTGGAAAACTTTTTGCTCAAAGAACTGATTGGAGGAAAGTGCGGCAGGCAAAAAAGTATAACCTACCTAGCGAACTTTAGTAAATGGATGGCGGAACACGATTCAGAGGAGATAACCAAAGCTATTAAGAGCGACAAAGGACTGGGAATTATGGAGAGACGTGTGGTTTTGTGGGGATTCTTTAAACATAGACATTTCTCGCGAGGACTTGAAGATTCTGTGGGTTTCGCCTCTAGGGTGGAGTGCTTAGATATCTACCCTTCATACTGTTACTCCCCATGTGCACATCCTAAGCACAGCTGAGTCGACCACATATTGAGGGGTATCACTGACAATTCTTGTAGTGCGAATCTGCACTTGGCGGTTACGAGGGCATCTTTATACGTCCATAGTCCCTTTGAGGCTCTGGCGAAAGAGTAAGTAGAATGTTTACTTTAGTATTTCTTAAAGTGAGTAGTATATGCTGAGGACATTCCAGATAAACTTATCACAGATCAAATGTTCATTACTGGAATTCGAATTAGGCTATCTGATATTTCCTGGAGTAAACCCATTCTATTTTGAAATCATTCCACTTCAAGTGAAGCAATAAATGCCACTTTGATGCAAAGGGTTACTGAGAGTGAAAGAATCAGAGGGGCATATAAAAGAATAGAATTCTTTTTTTAAGGCCGTACACAGGAAAGTATGAAGAGTTCCATAAGCGAGAAATGTGAAAGAGGAAACTGTTAGCCTAGAACTTACGGTTACATCTAGCCATTTCAACTGTAAAATGATGAAACCTAGCTGTCAACCAAAAAACTGTGCTTAAATTGGTAAAGTCCAGGTACCAAAGAGGAAAGGTCATCAGAACAATTAGCATAAAATATGCATAATGGCACAGGGAAGCCAGGTTACGGAGGTAGGAAAGGGACTAGAATAATATAAAAATAAGCCTCATTTAAACCCAAATATTTAGACAAGTATGTTCTATTTAATCCCCTTCGCTATTGCGAAAGACGTATATTCCAGTAGTTTTCATGAGAAATATAAAACAAAGAATGAATTGCGATAAATTTATGTTGAAAATAATTTTGAGCGTTCACGAAAACAAAAAGGTTAAAGTTCGCTTTGTCTGCGTTATCACGCTTCAAGTATATTTGCCTAATTAGGTTTATACATTTTTCTATCATACAGTTCATTTTAGCCCGAATCCTTGCCCTATACTAACGGGTATTTTTGCTTTACACCGCACATTAACAAAACATTAACCTGAAACCTGATGTTATGCTCTTAAGTAGCGTCGTCAGGTCGAGACTCTCATATGGATGTCAGTCCTGGCTCTAAAGCCTTTCACGAATATCTAAAGTGTCAGATGTATTCAACCGCTTTCTTAGATCAATGGTTAAAATCCCTTGTGTGAAGGTTGTGGTTCTTCTTTGAAGCTGGTGGACTGGCAATACAAAATCACAAAGAACTCATACGAAATAACAGAAAGCACATCACTTGAGGAATTTCCACATCAGAAACATCTAAAATGGGCGTGTAACTCTAAGAGAAAATGACATAATGTTGTAGAGTAGTTTCCACAGTGGAGGCTTGTATTTCAATAAGTCGTCCTAAATTAGGTTCGACGTACAAAACGTTAGGAACTTGAAATAAGATTTAATGACGCAGCAATCTCGTTGTGATGGTTGGTACTTCAATGTCCGACATCGACTGACTCGCTCAACACCGCTGAGCCCAACTGCCCACTGCTACTACTACTTATTATCTGTGGGAGAGTCTATTACAATAGAATAGGTAATCTGGTATAACACATAATGAAGTTGTTGACATTCCAAACTAATTGATAGAAAGGAAACTCACATCGATACTGAAAAGAGTGACAATAAGTACTGGTCTTGAGAAACCTATTTACTTGAAAAATTCTTTTAAGAGAAAGATAATAAATTTCAACTGGCAGTAACAATGGCTGCTCCCTCAATGATTGTTGAATATTTCTTTATAAGGAAACTGCTAATATTACCATTACGACAATATAATTAAATTTTCAAGCAGCCATTCCAGCTCTGTCTATCACCGCAAACATATCGGGGACCTGGAATTCTCATATGAATTAATGATCTGTTTTTACTCCATTGCTGCTTACAAAACGTTTCATCACAATCCTCTTTCGGATAACGCAGAAGAACACGTTACGTTGAGAGTTTTTATGCTGCTAAAATACGCAATATCGATTTGATTGGTATGATGATACTCTTATCAATGAACGCAGTTTAAATTCCTCCCTTCTCAATTGCGTTCATTTTCGCACTTATAGCATCAAGAAAGCCGTGTATCCAATTACCCTAAGCTATTGGTTAAATAAAGACGCAGACTCGGCTCTCGAGCAGTGAGTGGAAACAATTCTATGAAATAAAAACATTGAATTCACAATCGTGGAGAAAACAACATGACATTATCTTTCCTAACAATGGTAATTCGCAGATAATAAAGGATTCCGTGTAAAGGCATGATCACTTACACCTTGAAGGAACATAGCGTTTTGAAAAATTCACATCGTTTAGTTCGTGACACAAAAATACAAATATTTTCTAATTTGTTAATTTATTCGAACTTTTTCACGCATATAAAATCATTGACATTATCTATTTTTTAAATTTTGCACGTCTTGTTAGACATTATACCTTGAGTAAACAAACATTTCCAGAGATGTGCATTTAAACATACTGAAGAATCCAGATATTCAATCGATTCTATGAATTTTGCAACTTCTATTTATGCTGCTATCTCCCGTCTTTCCTTGTGCTTTTTTTTCTCTCAGTCGGTCCTTGCCCTAATCTTTTTTCCCGCTTAACCATTTTCTTTGTTACTATATTTCGTTTTACTGTCTTCCATGCCCTCTCTCTGTGCCTTTCTTTCTTTTCCTCTCTCTGTGCCTTTCTTTCTTTTCCTCTCTCTGTGCCTTTCTTTCTTTTCCTCTCTCTGTGCCTTTCTTTCTTTTCCTCTCTCTGTGCCTTTCTTTCTTTTCCTCTCTCTGTGCCTTTCTTTCTTTTTTCCTCTCTCTGTGCCTTTCTTTCTTTTCCTCTCTCTGTACCTTTCTTTCTTTTCCTCTCTCTGTGCCTTTCTTTCTTTTCCTCTCTCTGTGCCTTTCTTTCTTTTCCTCTCTCTGTGCCTTTCTTTCTTTTCCTCTCTCTGTGCCTTTCTTTCTTTTCCTCTCTCTGTGCCTTTCTTTCTGTGCCTCTCTCTGTGCCTTTCTTTCTGTGCCTCTCTCTGTGCCTTTCTTTCTGTGCCTCTCTCTGTGCCTTTCTTTCTGTGCCTCTCTCTGTGCCTTTCTTTCTGTGCCTCTCTCTGTGCCTTTCTTTCTGTGCCTCTCTCTGTGCCTTTCTTTCTGTGCCTCTCTCTGTGCCTTTCTTTCTGTGCCTCTCTCTGTGCCTTTCTTTCTGTGCCTCTCTCTGTCTATTTGCCTCTCTCTGTGCCTCTCTGTCTGTCTATTTGCCTCTCTCTGTGCCTCTCTGTCTGTCTATTTGCCTCTCTCTGTGCCTCTCTGTCTGTCTATTTGCCTCTCTCTGTGCCTCTCTCTCTGTCTATTTGCCTCTTTCTTTCTTCCTCTTTCTACCCCTCTCTCTCTCTCTCTCTCCTCGTTTCTTTTCACCTTCTCTCACATTCTGACATAATACCAATGGCGTCTGCATCAGCACAAGCGTTTTAGCTTAAGTGCCTGGTTGATTTCTCGCGAGATTGATCGACCTAGATTTCCTCGATCCTGTCTCCGATTCGCTTCACCTCCCAAAAGCTGCTCCATCAAACATCGCCTTCCTTCGCCAAATCCCCTTGATGTTCGCTCTCTCAATCACCACTGCTTTCGACATTGCTGCACCAACCAATCACTCACATGACACAGTGAAAGACAAGAGGCGTGACATGTCGGCAAGGGGCATCGGCCACCTGCGCTTTATTCGCCTCAAACTGAACTGTCATCGAGGAGGGTGGAGACCGAGACGACGACATTCGCATCGCAGAGAAATGCCATACGTTTGACGAGACTTTAAATGACAGATTGGATCTGCCTTTAGTTATGTCTCCTGCTTGCTCCGCTGTTAGCGATTTTTGTTTTCTTTGTCTTTCACTTTTCATCGGCCATGTTTTTTTCTTTGTGTTCTTACTCTTATTATTATTATTACTAATTCGGTCATTGATTTACTTTAAGATTTAAATATTCGTTTTCTTTTGCGCGTGCATTTAATAACATTGCTTCTTTTACGCGATAATTTAACAAAAAATATTTTACACGTATTATATCATCTCTTTCTCTTCGTTTATTTTACATTTGTATTGAACCTGATTGCTTTATTGATGTCATTTTCGCAGATCATCTGATCATATAAAGAAGCTCATTATCAGAAGAATTCAAGTAATGTTTCCGATAGTATTTAACCCGAGTATTAGGTCTGAATACTCGAATATTTCTCTTTTGGGGGTGCAACCTTGAACTGGCCTTTTAAGGTGCACTCAGTAGCTTGATGGATGAAGGGAAACTTCTTTTTTTACCTGAACCGTATGTGAAAGTGATCAAAACGATCTCTTTTTAACCTTTAAACGACAAGAAAACACCGGGATTGTTGCTATGGTAACGAAGCTAAATTATGCAGAGTACGGCCGCTTGGCTCAGATTGACCTTGAATTCTGTCACGCATACACTCTACGTTATAAAGTTCTCACTGAATTCCGTTGATTATGGGAGTGCTTGGGAGAAAAGTAAGTAGAGGGTAGTTACCTCACCACGTCACAGAGATTCCATCAGCGACCATGTCTTTTGCAGCAAATCTGGGTCAAGAACATTTAGCTATAAATATAGCAAATTTTAAACACAATATTAGTACGAATACGCAAACGTGTGACAGTATAATTATATAATTTTAAAATTTCATAAACGAATGCGATTTTACTTTTTCTTTTTTTTTTATCAAAATTGATAAAATTGTTAATTATATAAATCTAAAATGTTTTTTTATAAAATTCTAGCAACGGATTGAATTTGTATAGATGTCAGTTTCCAGTACTATTTTCGATGGTCATTTAATATTACGAACGGCATACCCAAGTAATATTGTTCATTCCTGTCTATATTTCTGAGATGAGGTGTTGTAACTAATTACATTATTTACATTGATCTGACTGTCTTCCTCATCTCTGATGTGGTATTCACGTCGTTTCGGCCGTTTATACGCTCTGGCCTTCTTCAGGTGATTGGAATTTTGAGGACACATGACCTAGAAGATAAAAGCGTAGGTTGAAGTAATCCAGTGACTTGACCCAAAGAGTTGTAAGTTCAATACCTGGCCACAGCAGAGATTAAGAAAACCTTGGAAGGTTGAATTACTAAAGGGAAATAACTGAACTTAAATATGTATTTTCAGACACTACCCGCTGATCGGTGATTTCTTGCTCAACTTGACGGCCATATTGCCTAATTTTGATCATGCCGATGTGATCTACATCTTCGGGCTTTCTCCTTCTATAATTTGGAAAGGAGTAATTCCATTGTTCAAATTTAATTTAAATAAAAGGGAAAAACACGGGGGTGTTATGGGGTCCTACCTTCATGGACAAAATAGACTCGTCTTATGACTATATTATGCCTCGCAAGAAGACTGTAGACAGTGGACGAGTTAACTACGTGTGCGTCTTCTGTGTCTGACTTCTGTTGAACTCTCTGCTTTGGCAGAGAGGAACCCGGACGAAGCTTTGCCGAAGGGCAAAGTTTCGTCCGGGGAGGTAGACAGTTCCCGAACCCGTCTACGGGCTCGGAGAAACCCACGTTAAACTCGGCCTTGTGCCACATACATTCCTCGTACGGGTTGACTACTGTACTTAGCCGTCAGACGGACGTGCAACACTTCTGTATTCGTTCTTTTTGTTAATAATACGTTTTCACTGAATTGCTGAGTTCGAGTTTTCTTTCGGACCTCTTCCGGGTCCACAACAGGGGGGCTTGTAATTCCGGGTCCCCTTTTGATCAAAATAAGATATACATATCCAAATACCCTGGTAAATGTTGTTTTGGGATATATATGGTTATGACGGCCTGTCTTCAAATTCCTACGAGGCGTTAGATAACAAACACACAGAGGCTACAACTTTATATATAGATAAGGAACCGATCATTTTCCCGCATCTTTACCGACAGACCGTATATATGAGTTCCACTAGATGTCTTGGATGAAAGTGGAATCTCAAAATACTTTCAAGGGGAAGGAGCCCCCTTGGGGGAACACCTGTTTATTGCGATAGTTGGACAATCAAAGTCTAATCGCTGATGGAATGTGACTTGTCTATTTTTTCATTTGATTATTACCAGTCAGTTATTTCTTTTAAAGCTTGATCAAAGAGATCAGCTGTTACAATATTGTCATCTGCATTTTTGGAGGTGCAGCTATATACCGTTGTATCATCTTCATAGAAATTTACGAAAGAATGTTCTCCGACAGATCGTAAGGAAACTCATTGAGAGTAAAACCATTCACCATGAGGCGAAACCTCGGTGTCCGCTCGGGGATGATGAAACGGTACTAACTTGTTTTGGAGATAATGAAGATTAGAAGCCATTACCTTCTCATTGATCTGTGAGAGCTATGTTAGACGAGAGATAAGCTGCCAGGCACTGGTTATCTAGATTTTTGTAGGTGCATGCATAAAACGTGATATGGTCTGCATATATATTTACTAATAATCTGAGAATGTTCTTATACAGAAACAGGGCAGGACCGAACAAAGAGCCTTTTGTGATGTCAACGAATACTCGTTGTCATTCTCGTAACGCTCATTGTAGTAGAGACTTTGTAATCGCAGATACAACTATGGTAACGCTGTTGAGCAATACTGGTGTCAGATGCCTTCGAATAGCACTCGCACTAATAGTACTTGCTCGAGAATACTCGCTCAAATAGTAACCACTGAATAGTAATCAGTATATCGATCATTATTGAGTATAGTAACTAGTATAGAGAATAGTAGAGATAGAGGATAATGTAGAAAGAGTGATCCGTAGAGTAATAGAGGATAGAATAGAAATGGTGATCAGACGCCAACGCTAATTCCCATATGTATATTTTCTTTACCATCACTTGATCTACTTATTAGAAGTTAAAACACTTGTGTTTGCTCATTAGTGATCAAACCCAAGTGTCGGTAGTAACACTTTATTGCTATATAACAGTCTTTGGGTACGCCTGCATTGATCAAATGGGCTTTAGAGGACGGGCCATTAAAATGGCCTTCATGTCCTCACCTGAAAGGAAGGACTTGATAATTGAGAAGAAACCTACAGAGGTGTCATGAATGGAAAGTTTGTATAGCAAACTCCTAAGTTACAACTTTTCAAAAACCTTCCAAATGTATAAAGTGACGACTCTCGTGATAAATTTATCAAGTTCTTCATTGATTCTATAATAAATGCCATTTAAGCCATCATTGAGGTGATCGTCAGTTGTCTCACTGATGACTCAAAAAGATTGCTGATGAAACTAAAGAGAGCTGATGGGGCAGATATTGAGACTTGGGCAAGCGACTTCCAATAAATAGGGTATCCAGCTAACACATTCCATCAACTTGGGATTTTTTTTTGCCAAGATTGTCGATAAATCTGGACTAAGACCATTTTGAAGAATCCAAAGAAACTTTATCCGAATCAATGTGTACTTTAGGCGAGGGGGTTATCATCTCACTTGGCGATGGAGGCAAATTTAATTGTAAGTAGCTTAAATTTTTCATCTTACAAGGATGAGATAACTTAGAGATATTTATAATAAAAAAGTACTGTTCATAATCTTGTTTTTAATTTTTAAGAATTAGGGAAAAGCAAGTTGTTTGAATTAAGGTTTGATTTGAACTTTTTGAACATAGCTGCTCTTTGCCTTTTCCAGGATTTTCTTGCAGTTCTAAATTCGGTAAGGATTCTGCTAGACCGTTCCGTCATAGATGATAGTAGTGGTTACGGTGAGCTAAAGCCTCAGCACATTCCGGTTTGAACCAAGGCTGGCTCTTCGGCTTTTTGTTAATTATTTTTCATATATAATATATATATATATATATGAGAGAGAGATAAACAGAGAATTATCTTAGCCGATGTGTTTCGTTCTCTAATAATTTGCAATAAGTAAAAGTGCTTTTCGTTTTTCACGATTTTTAAATTTAATGCTAACAGAAAATCTGCTAATGACGTAATTCGTGTTTAATAAACGAATGTGAGTAAATGTTGATAGTTTTTAACACAATATTTAAACCGGTGAATAGTAAGTTCTTGAGTAAAGTGAGCCTGGTCAGCATCAGTTACAGCTGGTGGCAATGCTGGTGCCAATTATTATGGGAAGAAAACCTCAAAAGCAAAGGTTTGAAGCAAAGTCCTTTGAGATGAAACCATCATTGCAGCGAAGCGCGCCGTTCTCGCTGACTACTAAGAACTTTCAGACTCTTAGAACTGCAACAAGCAATGTGCAACAGACTGCCCGACGCTGCGCCAGTGAGCTCTGGATCCAGCTCAATGAAGACATCCAGACTTCTGCCATCACTGAGAACATCGGGGGAATGTACGATGGTATCAGAAAGGAATTTGGACCAGTCCAGACAAAGTCAGCTCACCTCAGATCTTGTCAGTGAATACCTATTCATTGACTAGAGCCAACAGACTGAGAAATAGGTGGAACATTATTCTGACCTCTACTAGAAACAGAACACCGTGTCCGCGTCAACCCTCGATGATATCAAATACTTGCCAACCGCGGTTGAACTGGATACTGAACCAACGTTGGGTGAGCTCAACAAGGCCATTGAGAGTCTGGCTGCGGGAAAGGCACTAGGCATTTATGAAATACCTCCCGACATTATCAAGCAATGCAAGACAACCCTACTGCTCCCATTGCGTGAAGTCCTCTACCAATGCTGGCAAGTGGGTGCTGTAACACGGCACACGAAGGACGCCAAGATCATAGCTCTACAAAGGCAAGGTCGAGAGTAGCGACTGCATCAACTATAGAGGAATC